TACGTGCATATAATTGAATGCCATGTTATCTTCTACGCCTTCTTGTACTTCAACAGTCTATCAAGCTAAAAGTTACTCTCTCGCTATGTTACTGTGAAGATCTCCAATGTCTTCTGCTTGTGGAAGACCGAAAAACTAATTTATATTTAGGCAGTAGTGTAATAATTTAATCCAACGTCGGCGTAATGCGTGTGGGATCAACATAGGTCTGATTGGACAATAAAACCAATCAACCAATCAGAAACACGGATAAATGAATTAAAAACATCGAGCGCTCTGATTGGCTGATATTTCTTAATGGGATTTCAAAATCGATCAATCCGTGAATTGCTCGATGTTTGCTAATTTCCGAAGAGCTCAATGATTGGCTAATTGGGCCCAATTAGACTCAAAAATGAGCCAATCARAAAGCAGGAAATGAGACTCTTGTCGAATATTTAACGCCGGGCATTATTCCGGTTTTTCCGGGGTTTTTTGTTGTTTTTTTTTAATACCCGTATCTCTTTGATAAGAAAAAAATGTTGCTTTATATATGTCATGCACCTGAGCAAACTTAATTAACTTTACATATTCAACACCTACTACAACATTTTTTTCCCATAACGGATGACCGAAGCTTTTATTCAAGTTTCCTCCAACGCACCACAAACTAATTAACCGGTAAATTCTCGTAAATAAAACGCAGGAAGTCGGTCTATCGATATCAATGCGTGAGGAGAAAAAACAGCAGAAGACCCTTATGATGTTTTGTAGAAATATTCCAGATGCTTTACTTAACAAACTGAAGTTAGTTTTCCATTGTAAAAACTATTATTGATCATTGATTACGTCAAAATATGTTCAAAATTCAAGTGGAACCACGAGCGCGCGCAATGGCGTGTGGTGGAGATAACTAGATTATCGTTATCTTATCAGTGAACTCAAACAATGTTATATAATTTTACTTAAAATATACTTTTCGTAATCTGACAACTAGCAGTATATTTATTTGATTAGTAAAGCTTTTAATGCGAAGTTATTCAGTTAGTGATAATTTTATTGTCTATACGACAGATTTAACATGGACGGCCCAATAGACCCCCCAATATATTAAATTTTCTGATATCTTTGTTTAAATTCTGAGAATAAAAAGTAAAAATAATAATAATGAGAATTAATAACAGCAAGCACTTATGAGAATCAGAAATCTTTTGATGATACATTTACATACATTTTCATTTGGAGTTTTGGACACGAGGGTACATAGGCTTAATTCCAAACATTAATATATAGATAGATAGATAAATGTTTTTTACAGATTGCTATTACCAT